TTCATTCAACAAACAACCCTCCTCTCTAGAGAAGCAACCCTTTTCCTCAATCCGATGGCTAGTTCCTAATCTGCTAAGGGTTTAGATGCCAAATCACCAAATGTGACTGTTGCACATAAAGAATGAGTGAACGGGCCACACTAAACATACCCGCACAGGTGGACATCATTTTACCGCATTCTGTTCTATGGGGCTGCACGGACGTAGTCTGTCAAAGGCTGAAGGCAAGACCCTTCACCAGCAAAAAGATCAGGACTCTATTTATTGCGATCCTCACTTGACTGTGGTGGTCTGGAGCTGAACCTGCAGTGTCTCTGAGATATGCCTGTATTATTAACAAATATAAATGTGCTTACGTCACCTGTTAGGAGTTTCATACATGCAGCCAACAGAACATTATTTGGTATTTAAAAGGATGGAAATTCTGGCACATGCGACAATAGGGATGAGCCTTGAGGACATGATGTTGAGTGAAATAAGTCAGACAGGACAAGACAAATATGTTTGGTTCCACTTACACGAGGTCCCCAGTAGTCAGATTCACAGAAAAAGAAAGTGCAATGGCAGTCGCCCGGGACTGCGGGACTGAGGTACAGGAAGTGGTTTAATGGGTGCAGTTTCGGTTCTGCCAGGTGAAGAATCCTGGGAATGGGGCTGCCCAACAGTGTGAGTGCACGTAACACTTCTGAACTGCACACTTAAAGTGGCTGAGGTGGCAAATTTTATGTTACATGTATTTTACCACAATTAAAAGTAATTGTAAGCCCTGGCCAGTGTGGCTCATGGGTTGGGCGTTGTCCTGCAAAACGAAAGGTTACAGGTTCGAATCCAGGTCAGGGCACATGCCTGGGTTGCGGGCCAGGTCCTGGTCAGGGTGTGTGCGAGAGGCAACTGACAATGTTTTTCTCACATACTAATGTTTCTCTCTTTCTCCTTTCTTTCCCCTCTCTCTCTAAAAAAATAAAATCTTTTAAAAATATATTAAAATTTTTTGAAAAAGAGTTTCAGAATGGTTCATAAAACAAAACCCCAACTCTAAAAAAAGAAACATCATGATTTGAAAGGGCTAAACATAAAGGAATGGGAAAGATACACCAAGCAAATGTAGACAAAAAGGAGGCCGGGGCTGCGATCTTGATATATGTGGAGATAGAATTCGGACTCCAAGCACCTACTGAGAGAAGAAGATGGGAGTCAGGCTATCTCTGCATTAAATGATACGCTGGCACTGTCACAGGCAGCAATGACAGGAAATGCAAGAAGTGGAAATGTGAGTAAAAGGAGACTAAAACACACCACTTCCAGTCCAAGATTCATCAAAGCGTCAAAAAATAATACAGAAAACATAACATCATAAAGTACATGTCTTTTATACATAACAAAATTTGTACCCCACCAAGAGAATATCCCTTTTTATGCACATCATGACACTGACCATTATTAGGGCAAAAGAAACTTCAAAGCCTCGTTCAGTGGTTCCAGTGGGATAAAGGATGTAAACGCACTTTGAAAACTATAAAGCACCAAGCCAGTATCAGTTACCAATGCTGTCAATACTGTTATTGTCTGTTACCATTATTCACTGCTGGGTGGTCTTTCTGCTCACTCGGCGGTTCTCTCACATGTTCTAGAGGAGTCTGCCAGCCAGGTGAGGCATAAACATGAAATCTTTACTATCTCTTTAAGAGCTACCATTTTCTTGGTGTTTGCAACGTGCCGGCTACTTTGCCGCTTTGCCTGCGGCCCTTTATTAGAAGTAGCTAATTGTTTTCTGACAGCAAGCTTTCTGCTTCCCCTGTATCACTCTCGGGGCCTAGAACAGTGCCAGGTGCGTTTCTAGTAGCACTCGAAACACAATGATTAAGGACACACTTCAAAGTCAGATAAGAGTTTCAAACTTCACTCTGGCACTTACTGTGTGACCTTGGGCAAGTTAAATACCTTTTCTGAACCTCAGTTTTCTCAAAGGCAAACACAGATAGCAGTCATACCTACATCAACTAGAATTGTTTGTGGATTGGAATGTAGTAACACAAGCACCAGCTACCTGGTCCACAGTAGGCGGTCCACAAATATTAGTCTAAGGTTGAGGAAAATGTTACCAAACAGATTAATGTAGAATAGAAGTTCTTCTTTTTTATTTAAAAAACAACAACAAAAAAAACCCCACCTTTAAATAGAAACATCCTCTATGCATTTAAAATGCTAAGTGAAATAAGCCAGGCAGTGAGAGACAAATACCACATGATCTCACCTCTAAGTGGGACCTAATCAACAAAACAAACAAGTGAGCAAAATAGAACCAGAGACATGGAAATACAGAACAAATTGACAGTAAGCAGAGGGGTGGGGGAGGGGGATAACCAGGGAAAGAAGGGGGTCATCAAAGAACATGTATAAAGGGCCCATGGACAAAGACACGGGGTGGGGAGGGAGGAGGTGGAGGATTGAAAGTGGGAGGTGGGGGTGGGTAGGGCGGGAGAGAGTAATGGGGGGGGAAATGCGGACAACTGTAACTGAACAATAAAAAAAGATTTTAAAAAATCATATAGAGGTAATAGCGAAATAAGTTATAGTGTATCCATGTCGTGGAATACTACACTGCAATGAAAAAGAATACACTGTGTCCACATGTTCACACATGGGTAGACGGCCATGTTGTGGCGTAGAACAAAGCAAGCTTCAGAATAGGAACAGAAAAGCTCTCCTCCCCACTTAAAAAAAATAATGATATATGCATAGAGAAAGGTCTGGAAGGATATACCTCTAATTTTTAAAGGGGAATAAGATCGAGGACTTCTGAGGAGCTGCTTCTAATTTTTAACATTCCAGTTTCTTGTAATTTCCAACACACACACACACACACACACACACACACACGTATACAACAAAGGAAGAAAATAACTGGGAAAAAAATTCTTGAATTCTCTTTGGCCTGTATTCTTCATGAGACTTTGAAAGCTGATGAACTGAATAGAGGTGGTTAATTCTTCTGGCAAGTGTGAGAATTCCCATATGCAGCTTTCTGTTGTAAAAGAGACAGAAACTGAAGGAGGGAGAGAGGGAAAATGAATCGCTCCAGCATCACTCGTTACTCAGCACACCCAAACAGGTAGTCTTACTCTCGTCCCTGCCACCACCGAAGCCCTGACACACAGAGTAACACAGAAACTCTTTGATAAATGTCAACTGAAATAGAGCAATCAGCTGAAAGCCATTTGCTGAGCTGTCTGACGGCCCTGGGCCTGAGGTTTTCCTTTATTCATTTATCATGATATACGGCTTTGGCCAACATACACACAGGAGAGAAATTGTTGACATGTGGAACCCAAGTACAGAAAATCTTTCAATTTCCCCCCCGTCTGTTCACCAAATAAGTTTTTGTTTATTTAAAGACTACAGAGGATTTGGCTGTTAAGAACCAAATGCCTTTGGAGTGGAGTTACAACATAATTTATCATTTCCTCTGTTTATTAAAAAATCCTGCATCTTTGAGAAGCACATTTGCAGGGAGTGGGGGATTTCGGCCACTCACGAAAGGCTGCTGCAGAGCCCTCGCCATGTGGCTCACCCCCAAAGAGGCGCCTCGGTTGCTCTTCCCGACCCTGTGCCTCCTTCGGCTGACTTCCAGTCGTGTGACGGCTGCCCAGGGCTGGCGGACAGGGTGCAGGCAAGCAGGGCAGGACTCGTGTCAGCTTCTTTCACCCTCGCCCTAACTCTGACCTTGAGTCTCCCCTGGCCGCTGTGCAGTGCACCCTGCTCCACCAGTGCAAGCAGGGGGCGACGTGCACCCATCGCCGCCAGGAGCCGGGCCCCAGGGGAGTCACATCAAAGAGAAGCTAGAAGCTGCTTCAAAGGAACATGGCCGGGCCCTGCTTCTGCCAAAGCGGGTGCCATTCTAAAGGCAGACATTTGGCAGAACTGGAATGAACTTCTTACCTTCCACCCATGACATTACAAACAGCAAGCTGGTCCAGTGCACCATGCACCCTCAAAGACAGGGGTCACGTCTTGCCCATTTTTATATTCCCAGCACGTAGCACCGTACCTCACATGCAACTGGGGCTCACTGGATGTTTACGGAGGCGGCCGGATGCAGCGCGTGGAGCACGTGCCGTCTGTAGACCGCTCCCTGCCCGAGCCCCAGCCCTGCCCCGTGCTGGCTGCAGGGCCCTGGGCAAGAGCCTGCGCCTCTCTGAGTGCTTCCCCTCTGTCCAGTGAGGCCGACAATGAACTGTGGATCCTCTTACTAACTGTTACTTTGGGCAAATCACCTAATGTTGTCAGGTCTCAGTTTTCTTATTTGTAAAATGGAATTAATACACATCTTGGAAGTTTACTGTGAAGATTAAAAATATTGCCTAGGGTTGTTTCCAGCCCATCATGGCTATACTATCAATGAATGAATGAATGAATGAATGAATGAATGAACAAACGCATGATTAAAAGAAAAATTACTGGGGGGAAAAACTAATGACCCAGTACCCAAAGATGAGCCACACCACACTACTTGCCTGCCACGTACAGGCAGACCCTGGGGAAAGATAGCTCCTTACCAAGTAAACACTGAGGACAGAGCAAGGGTGGAAAATGGCAGAGTAGTGTTAAGACTGGAAAGAGTAAAATTCGGTACTTGTTGCGCAAATATTAAGTGCAATTCATTCACAACACATTTGAGTGCCTACTGCACTTCAGGCACTGTGTCAAGTTCGGAGGCTGTGGAAAATATACAGACTCATTATCAAAAAGAACAACTAAGGTTCAGATGGGAAGAACAGACAGTGATATGAGAGCGAGTAACAGGGGCCCTCAGTTCGGAGGAAGCGCTGGTCCAGCGGAGATGTGAGGGGTGAACAGGACTGGCCAGGCGAGGAGTGAGCGGTCCAGGCAGAGAAAAGAACACATGCAAAGATAACTCAGAGGGAAAAGCATTGTTCTGGTTGCTTTACACGCAGGTCCTCAGAAATCATTAACCCAGACTGACTCTATCATCATTCCCTTTGTGGTTTTTATTCTTTCCAATTCATTTTGACTTTATTGTTCAGTGAAAATGGGCCTCTAGCAAAGGCAGTTGCAGGTGAAGGCCCACACCCGCCCAGGCAAAGCTTACAGTTGGGGCCAGGGCCCGACTGTCTGTTTGAAAAGGAGGCTCCCGAGAAAAGGGGCAGTCAGTCCGATGGACGCTGCCGGAGGCCCCGGGCGTTTGGCAGTACCATGGTCCAGGCAGATGCCCTGCGTAAAGGCTGTCTGTCAGCAACAGGCGTTCTCCAAAGGCCCACCAATGCCAGGGGCCCGGGCGGCAGCGGGGTGGAGGGGGACAGGAGGAAGAGAATCAGCAAGCCCGGCTGTCCCACTGGAAGGTGGGGCCCCACAAGGACGGACAGGGCCATGGAGACAGCCGTCCGTGTGGACAGGGAGAGAGATGTCAATTTGCCACCCAGGGGACCCACCAGTGACGCCCCCGTGGACTGTCATCCGAGTAGCTCTTTGGTCTTCACCGCCAGGTGCCTGTCCAGCTCTGCGACGGTGTCGTCGGCCATTTGGCTGATCTGCAGAGACACAAGGAGAGACAAGCCTGATAACCAGGCTGGAAAAGGGTGGGGGAGAAACAGTCCAGAACCATGAAAGGTTATCTGGGAAAGAACAATGGCGACAAAGCTCACACTCACTGAGTCCCAGCCAGGCACCGTGCTAAAACTTTATGTACAGACTCCTGCTGATTCCTAACAGCCACACCGAGAGACACACTATTATTATCCGTATTTCACAGACAGGGAACTGAGGCAGTTAGATCACCTGCGCAGGACATGCATCTAGAAAGTGGCAACAGCAAAAATTAATCCTTGGTAGTCTGACTTCACAGTCCCAAATTCTTAACTATTATTACAGACTACAGAGAAGCCAGCCATATCTGTTCTTTAATGAACTTCTAGAATTTCCTGCATCTCAGACACTCTGCTATATAAAGCCCTCATACTAATTGATAAGAATATTAAAATCCCAATAGTCAAGCAGAAAAAAAGTCTTGAAAAAAGATGAAGTACATCTGGTTAACAAACATGGAAAATTCAATAAACACTGAAGAAATGGAAATTCAAACAAGACATAATTCAGTCATCATAGTTAACAAAATTTGATGTTGTGGTTTTTAATTACAATATTCAATGCCAGGGAGCTATGGTGAAATGGATAAGTTCACATATCATCAATAGGGATTCAAATTGATGCAAATGTTCATACCATTTTTAACTCTAAATTCTCTCAACGGGGAAACTACCACATGAGTGGAATCTGAAAAAATTTTAAGTTCTAAATACAAAGATATTTATCTAAGCTTTATTTTTAATAATGAAAAATCAGAAAATCTAACGTGAAAGAATGGGTAAGTAGTTAAATACATATAAACATTAAAAAGGGTTAAGGTTATATTTCTTAAAGAGAGGGTATAAATATGAGTAACATTCCAGTATATGTTTCTGAAACGTTTGAAGGTTTGACTGTTTTATAACAAGCAGGGATTGCTTTTGTAATCATGAAAAAAGAATGCTTCAAGATATTATTTATAATATCATGGAAACATGCTTATGTTACCCCTGAATTAAAGAAAAACCAGGATACAAAATTGTATATATGTATACATAGTAGAAACAATCTCAAATATGTAAAAAAATTATGCATATTTTTAAAATTGGGAGGAAAATTGGGAGGAAACCATCACAAAATATTAATAGTGATGGGAAGGTAGCTAATATATTATTTATGTGGTACCTGTCACATCTAGCAGAGGACCCAGCACATAGCAAATGCTCAGGAAATATTTACTAAATGAATGATTGTTAAAGTTCTCTGTGCTTTTCTGCATCTTCTGCAATAAACCCGTACTCCCTCTGAGAGTGGAAAACACTGTACGGTTTGGTAGGTGGTGCAGCCTCCCTCCCGTGTCTAAAAGGGACCACGGCAGGAGGCCTCAGGCAGGAAGCTTTGAAGGGAGCAGCGTGGTACCCAGGATCTGTGTGCAGCGGCGCAGTGGCGGTTTGACATCTTTATTACATCTTTATTTGCAGACCACAGGCCTTGGCCAGGAACTGAGAAATAAATGCACTGGAAAGGGTAGAAACTAAAAAGGATTTGGAGCAATTGGCCTCAGGCACGGAGACAGCCAGGCTCTCGCTCGAGCCCCAGCTGCACATTTTTTGGAAGAGCAAAGCTCCTGGGGCTGCTGGGCACTGTGGAAGGCGGCTGCGCTGAGAGCGGCTGCTTGGTCCCTCCTCACTCAGCCACTCAAACCCTGGAGATGCTTCTTTTGCCCCCGCCTGGGTAGCCGGCCTTGCGTGGGGTACGGCGCAGCGCCCAGCAGCCCTCCAGCTGGGGGCAGCCAGGAAGGGGGGCTGCAAGCCTCCTCTGGAAAGACGGAGTCTGGGGACAGAGACGAGGAGAGACGGGACTGGAGGGAGGAGCAGTGCCAAGGGTTGAACTCTCAGTGAGGTGACAACGTACAAATTTTTCCCCTCACTTTGAGCCTCAGCTTCCTCATCTATCAAATGGGGAAGCTAGCCGACCCCTTGCTCAGAGATTAGTTGGGAGGGTTAAAAAAGGCATGAATATACAAGCATGTTTTAAATTGGTTATTTGCTATGCAAATGTGCTTGTGTTACTCTGATTTTCACTATCACTTCCTGACATGTTTACAAATTAATTAATTAATTAAAATATTTACTAATTATTACCATATTTTTCTGCCATAATATTTTTACCGTAATATTTTCTACCATATCACAGGCACAGAGTGCCCTTGAGGACAGTCTTCCAGCAAGATCGTCTTTCCATCTTTATCAGGCTTCTAAAAATAATGATTAACAACAACAAGGATTCCAACAACACCTCCCATCACTACGTGCCACACATGGACTAAAAATGTTACATTTTATTTCACATAATCCTCAAAACATGTGAAATACCATTATCATCTCCCTTTAATATATTAAGAATCTTAATTATTTTACCTGACGGTTGCACAATAGTTCACGCTATGCAAAAGGGTTTTGTCCTGTTACTTCATTGAAATCCAACCACCTCCCATGACCTCTCTGTAAGGCAGGTGGAACAGGTATTATCCCCATTTGACAGAGACTAAACCAAAGCATAAGGTGTCAACTAACCTGCTCAAAATCACGTAAACAGTCAGTGGTGTGACTGAGCCAAGAGCTCCGCCACCCCTGATCGTCAGTGTGGTGCCCCCCTTCCTTGGGGGAGCTCCCTGCGCCCCGCTGCGTCCTGCCCTGGGTCGGGTCCTGCCCCTCGCAGGCCCGCTGGGTCAGGCTCCCTAACACAGTCAGTCCCTGTCCCGTACTCAAAGTCACAGGTGAGGGGAAGGGGGTAGGACGGACCAACAGACAAAGGACTGCGGGGGACCAGCAACTACGCCGCCCGTTCCGGCAGGCCGTGCGGTTCGGCCCTCACTCCGGTCCGATGAGAGAGGCGTCACTGCTCCCACTCTGCGGTGAGGAACCAGAGGCTCTGAAAGGTGAAACCGTCTTCTGACCTTAAGAGCTGACAAGTGAATGAGTCCTTCTGACTCCAAAGCCAGAGCCCTTTCCGTAACAATATGATGCCTCCTGAAGATTATACCACCACCTCCGCCACCATCATCACACTAGCTCCTTGCAAGTTCAGGAAAAGAAAAGGTAGAGAGGACAGGGAGGCAGGAGCACTCAGCACGCCCCTGGGGCAGGCCTGGGTAGCAGGCCATCCTTCCCAGGCCGGTGCCACTGGGTGCTGCTCCGCCTGTCTCGCCCGGTCCAGCCTGCCCACCCGTCTGCTGGGGGCCTGTCTTTCCTTCAGCCCACCAGCACCCAGCTTCACTTCAGAGCAGTTCGGTCTCTCAGGAAAAGGCAGCAGTGAAAGGATCTTGGCCAGATTTACTGGTGGTTTCTGCCAAGTGCTTTAATGTTCAGCAGGCCCATTTATAGCAAACTAAAGCGAAGGTGAAACAGCAGGCTGACAGATGTCAGAGCCCCGAGTGGGAAGACCCTGGTCCTTCTTCGGAGGAGCTGGCCTGAGCTGGGGGCTGGGAAGCCGGTGGGGGGAGGGCTGGGGAGTCAGATGGGATTGCAGAGTTGGAACCTACCACAGAGTCATTTCCTTCTTACACACCAAAATGGAGCATTTTTATATTACAATTTTGAAAAATCTGACCTTAAGACATTTGGAAATTTTTTTTAAAAATTAAGCAAATCTCACACATAATAAAATTAAAATGGTTCATAATCCCATTACCTGATATAAGCACCATTAACATTGAAGTGAATAAACTGCTAACCTTTTTATGTATATGAAACTCATTATAAAAATGAAATCATATTATAATACTATTATGCAATCTACCTTTAAAAATTCCGAAAAAGTACCATGTCTGTAGAATATTTTTATAATTGTTGATATATACACATTCCAGTAAATGAATGTAAAACAACTTATTTTCCCAATGCCAAAAATTTAGACAGTTCAAATTTTATACCATTATACACAATCAACAGATACCTCTATAGATAAAGAGTTTTGACAATTTTGGGGGGGGAAATTCCTAAGTCACTGAATCAGAAATGTATGGATTTTGGTATATATTGCCATATTATTCTCAAGAAAAACTGTATGGATTTATTCAAAGAATAACTTAATCCCATGGAGTGTGGAAGTAAAAGCAAAACTGCTCACATACGCAACATTTTAAGCTCACAATAAAAATTTTAGGTTCAAATGTTAGGGAGAAAGCCAAAACATTTTTTTAAATACACGTATTCTAAAAACCCATGAATGATTTAGGCAGCACGTACCAAAAACCTTAAAAGCACACGTTCCCTTTGCGCTGCAATTTCACACTTGGGGCTGTATGCTAGGGAAATCATCTCGAAAAAGATGTGTGTATAAATATATTCACTGAAACCTTATTCATAATAACAAAAAATTTAAACAAACTACATGTCCAAGAAGAGGGCTTATGAGAGTGAATTATGGTATGGCAACAGACGGAGTATCCTGCAACCATTAGAAATGGCTGTTTACAAAGAGTTTTTTAAGACACAAGAAAATGCTAATGGTTTTAATGCTGAACAGAAAATAAAAAGCTGAATACAAATTGTATGTACAGTACGTGCTCTCAATCATGTTTAAAACTATGTAGTTTAAAAAAAGGAGAGGGAGGAAGAAGAAAAATTCCAAAATGTTAAGAGCCGTTGCTCCAGCATGCAATAGGGATTATAGGGTGAATTTTTTCCCTTATTTTTAAAAACAGTCTTCTGAACTCTGTATTTTTTTATAGTGAACATACAATACTTTGATAATCAAGAACAAAGTAAACAAATTTTTAAAAACTGCTTGATAAAGCTTATTTACATAAAAACACACATCAAAAACACCACATCGGTGCTATCAGGAAAAAAGCACAGAATGAAGTGTGTACAAGACCGTCTCCTGAATATGTTCTTACTCGAACTTTAACCACATGAGAATAAAGTTATTATCAATACTGGTAAGAACTAATATTTAAATGACAATATCTTAAATAATAAAGATTATAGTGAAATACATATAGTATGATCTTTTTTCTGCATATATATTTACAGAGGTAACCTGAATGTTAACAGTGGCCGTCTCTGGGTGATAAAAGTTCTGTTACTTTCTTCTTAATTTTTTAAAAATTTACACTAAACATGGATTGGCTTAGTATCACAATAAATGAATAAAGTTACTTTCACTTTGAAAAATAATAATTAACCGTAACAAGCACTGAATAAAATAGTCTAATCTGAAGAGGAAGGTGAAAAGCCAGGCGCTAACTGTGAAGGCTTCCAGCAAGGCCTTTACCCAGCAAGTTTCAGCAGGAGAGCTGGTTACCCATCATCCTCCCCTTTTCAAGGAGCCCGGGCCCTGGCCCCTAGTCCCTGGGGCAGATGCTCAGACTTGCTGAGGGAGGAGCGCCTGAGGGTCTCAGAGGGCCACACTTACCGCCACCTGGCAACCAAGAAGCCCGGGGGGAGACGGGCAAGGAGCTGGCGCAGTGGGGCGCTGCCGCTACCAGGCCTGATGCCGGACTGGGCTCCAAGAGAGGAGAACACAAAGGTGGCAAGAAGGGAGCTTTGAGGGTCGAGGTGTCAGGCAATGGTGCTCCCAGCGGCCCCAGGGCAACCCGGCAGGACAGGAATTACAAATCCCTTTTGACAGGGGAAGCGGACCCTGAGGAGCGAGGTGACTTCCCCCAGGTCATGGGACATCAACTACAGGGCAACCTCCTTCTAACTCCGGTGTCACCTCACACCTTCCCTATCTGCTTTGGCAGAGTTAGCCAGGGATCTTTTAAACAATACACATTCCTAGACAGACCTATGGAATCAAAGCATGCAGGGGCAGGGCCGAGGAATCCGTCTGAGATCTCTCCGGGGTGACTGCTTGGCCTGGCCCAGGACTAGCCTTCTGCCTGCTGGCCCCGGACAAGGGGGTGCGGCAGTCACTGGACAGCCTCCTCCACCGGCCTCCGTCCTCGCCTCCCCTTCCTTCCCCCTCCACTCCCCATCCTGCTCGACGCCTCTTCGATCTCACTGAAATGATGCTTTCATTGTTGATGAGGGGGCTTTGGGTAAGCACTTCACAGTACACTCAACATTCTAAGTCTGTCTTCTAAATGCTGGTACCTCCATCTCTCTACCTTAATTCCTCTCTTGCTACTGAGGCTCAGGCGCCGTCACTTCCTGGGTGGGTTTCTGCGACAGCCTCCCGGCCTCCCTGCCTCCAGTCTTGCCCCCTGCAGTCTGATTTCCAACCAGCAAGCAGAATCCTTTTTCACAAATACAGATGTGATCTCCCCACTGTCTGGAAAACATATTTCAAGAGAGTTACTCCAAATATGCAGACCCTCAGGCCCTACTTCAGACTCACTGACTCAGTCTCTGGGAGCAGGGTCCCAGAAACCTGTAAAAGCTTCCCAAGTGATTATGATGCTGTGGCACATTAGATTATTGTTCAAAAAATATCCACTCCTTCCTCCAGAGCTCCATGAACTGAAATACCGTCCTGCCCCAGCAATAACGGGATTGGGCCTGTGTGAGTTCCTTGGCCAAGGCGATGGGACAGGAACAGGTGCCTAAAAATGTACTTGAGTGGTTGGGGTTATGCTCTTGGCATCCACAGCTGCCGTGCAAAGATGCCCTGGGAAGCTTGTTGACTCCAAAAGATGGCCAGATACACAAAGCCGACCTAAACCCAACCAAAGTTAGGGAGCCAAGCCCACTGAGCCCAACATACAACAGCTACATCCCAGCTGACCGAGAGATGTGCGCATAAGGACTAAAGCTTGATATTGTAAATCACTGACGAGGCAGTTTGTTAGGCAGCGTTGCTGTGGCCACAGATGGCTGATAAGGGTGCAGAGCCAACATGGGAGTCTCTGGACATGGCGAAGTCCCCACTCCTCAACCTGGTATACAGGACCTTCTGCACGAGACGATGGCTGGGCACTGCCTTGTCCGTCCATTCCCTAGTCTCAGCCGAGGCCCATGACTACCTAACTGAACAGAGTTCTCTGACACCACCATCCCTCGCACGTGCTGTCCGCCTTTCCCCCTTGTCCCTCACTGTCTCACCCCAGTAGCTCCTTTAAGACATGCGGAAGTGCCACTGCTCAGCACTTAAGTTCTCACTTCTCAGCACCAGCCACAGATATGAGCGCAGTGGCGTACAGGCTCTGAAACCAGCCTGCCTGAGTGTGCATCCCATTTGTAGCATTTACCAGCAGTGTGACTTTGGGCAAGTTTTTCAGCTTCTTTGACCCTGTTTCCTCACTCCCTACACCTCACCGCTTTGTAGCAACGAGGGTAAGTGAAGTGACGTAAAGTGTTCAGCAGAGCCTGGTACGTGGTAAAAGATCAGCAGGTTGCCCTCCCCTCCATATTCCCAGGGTCCAGCACAGAGCGAGGCCCAGGCCGGAGACTCGGTCAATGACAATCACATCAGTGAAAGACCAGGGGTCCTGTGTCTTCCTTTTCCTCACTTCAGACATGAACAAGTGAGTCCCCGATCAGACACATGAGCATTACATCCACTGGGAACAGTACCTGTTTTTCTATGAGTCGAATAGTGTCCTCTGAGGCCTTGTCCTTCGATTTCTTCAGCTTATTCAGCGCGTTGCTACGAACCTTCCGCAAAGAGTCTTTGGCCTTGTTGGTGTTCTGTTTGGCCAGTTTTGCCAGCATTTCCCTGTGCTCCCTGGTTACTCTGATAAGAGACACAAAAGGGTTCAATAAAATCATCCCATACATTAACTGCTAGCCAGGAATTTAAACCACACTGCCCATTAGCTCAGCAGCGTGTAGCCTTACTCTCCGGTGGCAGATGAGCTTCCCGTTCCTGATACATGCCCATGGGGATACTCAGGGTCAAGTAAAGTTCCTGGGGAGTTAGCTGAGGAGAGCCAGTAAGAGAACTGCTTAAAAGCCCAAGCCGGGAGTTGAGGCAGACCCAGGGCCAAACCTGAGCCACGCCACTTAGGAGAAGCATAACTGACCTCCTCTCCGCAGAGCTCCCGTCTCTATAATGGGAACTGCTGGTACCTGTCCCAGGCGGTCATGTGACGATTATATGAGATGATGCACATGGTGTTTGGCGCTGACCCTGGCACATCATCTCTAAATCTCTGTATGCACCCAAACAAGTAAGTAGCAACCTTCAGAATCTTAACTATTATTATAACAAATGACTTGTGAATCACCTTAAAACTGACCAAGATACAACGTGAGTCCCAGCATGACATGTGAGCACCAATGCACCAGTTAACTTCCATAAAGGACCCATGAGAGCACCTGACATATTACAAATGCTTAATGAATGTCAGTTATTTTTACTATTAATATCCTCACCACAATAACAACAACGAGCACATGGAGGGCCTGCTATGTAAATCACTAGGACGGGCACTTTATATGTTGATCCTTACAACAACTGTATGAGACAGTCATTATTATTCCGATTTTACATTTAATCAACACAACAACCCAGCAGAGTGGGCCAACATGTTTGCCCCTCATTTCTTCACCATGTACACACTGAGGTCTACTACCTACCAAAACCAGTGCTGGGCACTGAGGGCATGAGGATGAACATGAAGGACCTTTGTCCTGCTCTCCAGGAGCTTAGCTAGAAAGAGAGGTCAGTGAAGAGAAAGTGACAATAGAGTGTAAGAAGTGCCGTGGGCGGGGATGTGGGAGGAACCAGGTGTCACGGCACAAAGGAAGCTCCGCTAACTCACCAATTTCTGTCCGAGTTTGGGGCGGGGGCAGAAAGGGAAGACTTTTCTAGAGAAATAATACCTAAATGTGGAAGTGATTGGGTCTGTTCACTAGCATTCTGGTCCTTATTCCTTCCCGTAGGGATGCATTTCCCATCCACTCTGAAGTTCAGTGTTACCTCAGGGCAGAAGCTCTAAGAGCCAGGGTGCGTTCTACCACACTAGGTTCCACTGGCCACAGTGTAAGTGGGTATGGAATGTCCACCAGCTTGGGACCCAGGGCGAAGTATCATGAACAGTGTCCACTGCGCAGAATGCGCAAGAGCTAAGTTTATGTTGTATAGGCACAAAGCCACGGAGATCTGGGGTTTGCTTGTTATGACAGCAGAGCCCATCCTACCTTGACTAATACACCCCCCTAGGATCTGAAGAACGAGCACAAGTTGCCAGCACGGGCACGGCAAAGGGAGCCTTCAGCAGGAGAAAACCGCAGGCAGAAAGGCTCGGAGCCGTGGAGACCCAGTTTCATTTGAGGAACTGCCTGGAGCACAGACAACAAAGAAGTGAGTGACAAGAAAAGGGGCTGGACATCCGTATCATGGAGGCTCTGGTATGATCACGAACTCCATTTTATAGATTAAAAAATGGGACCCAAAGGAGTTTGGTATCTTACACAAAAGTCAAACCTAGACTATCTCAAAAGCCAATGGTCTTAGCATGACAAGATTCCTCTGCCCCCCGGGGCCTGAAGTGGACATCCTTGGCACATGGCTCCTGACCCCCAAACCAGCAGTTCTTGCCTAGTAAGGACAATTCCCGGTTGCACATGTTCCATGTGGCAGAATGGCAAGGAGGTGTTAAAGATTTAGTGGCATCCACCTGGCATTTTTTCCCTGCTAGGAAAAAACAGAAGAAGAAAAAATAGAGAAGAAAACTTTAAAAATTTGAGAAAGCATATACTCTGAAGACAAAGTAGACAGCTGTGTTATAAGTAAATCCTTCTGGTTTCAGCTAATTGAAGGTATTCTCAAAATAAAAAAGATCCTGATTACTACCATGAGTAAGCCCCTCTCTGCCAGGTGAGTACTTTAAATATATTACCTTACTGATCCTCACAACTCTTTGAACTAGGTTCTCATACCCCATTTCTGCCAAGAGGAAACTGAGGCGCACACATGTTAAGTGACTTGCCTGTGGGCTTGAGTGACAGAACTGGGATTCAAATCCAGATCTTTCTGGCCTGTATTCTTTCTGCGACTCCATGCTGCCTGCCCCTTGTCATCTATTTCACATAAATTACGCGCTGCTGCCATTACTTCTGCTTCCAGGCAGAAGGCTTTTCAAAGTCAGTAACATGAAGCTTAGGACTGAAAAGGACAAAACCACCATGTCAGGAGTTTAGGGATTTGGATCAGATCTTGTTACTTTTATGGTTTTTAATTCATTGAACAAAAATCATGCTGACATGCTTAGGTCTCTTTTTTGTTCTGCCAAAGCATATGTCAGTATAAGGAAGGAACAGGAAAATTAAAACTTGATCCACTGATTCAAAAAACTTAATCCTGCTGAAATACTAGGAGGGGCAGAAAATAAATGAATCTGAGTCTGTAAGAAACCTCTTAAACTTCCCTAACAAGAAGTATTTCAATCTTATATTTCACATATAATTTGAAATGCATAGGTATCCTACTGTTTAGACAATCTTTAATAAAATCAAAATTTTTATCTAATCAGCATCCTTTTCACTACATTGTTTCATTTATATTTTACATGAAGAAAAAAAACCATACGTTTAAAATATATAAATTGGGGCTCAAAAATAACCTTATGAGTAAAAGGCGATATAAAGAAAACAAAATCACAATATGTGTAATGTGGCCTTAATAAAGTGCATTTTGTATTTATTAATATAAACGTGACATTACTATACTGTTAACAACAGTTTCCACACATAACAGTATCCAGTTATTGCTGCTGACAAAAATATTTCAGTTTCAGGATGCAAATGCAGAGGCACCAAGCTACGGAAACAGAGCGGGGTGTGCAGTGAGCAAGGGAAAGGGGGGCGGGGGGGGGGGTGCTGCCTGGCACTGGAGCGCTGAGGCAGGGGCCTGAGCTGAGAGGTAGCTAAACTACAGGACCAGAAGCAGCGAGGGTGACGGGAAGGCAGTGGTTTTAAAGTCAGACGGTCCTCGTTCATTCCCCTATCTATCACTCAGAAGCTGACTACATGTGCGCAGGCTACTTAATTCTCTCTGAGCCTCAGTTTGCTCATCTCAAAGGTGAAGGTATTAAAAACACCTTAATATCCTAAAGTACTGGAAGAAGCAGTCACAACATGTATAAAGTACCAATAAAGATAGCAGCATATAGTAGCCTTGAGTAAATGATAGCATTTATGAATGTTTTAATCAAACACACTTAATTACTTTCTCATGAAACAAGGCACATCTGTTTTAGAAAAGAAACATACTATATTATGGAAATATTTTAATGCCTTTCCAAGCCAGTGATTAATACGTCCGATCATCTCCATCTCGCATTCGCTGGGTTCTGTGAGTACACGCTATTTTGTACGCCAGGCCTCTGGACTTGGCCAGGTGGTCCTGAGCGCCGGCTCTGCGCCTGGCATGCGCTGGTTCAGACAACACTGGCTGCCGCCCCTGTGTTCCCTGCCAGACCTTGGGCCAGGCTGAGGAGCTCCAGAGGGGGCAGGCCTGAGTCACCTCCTCCAGGGACTCAGTCCGGTGGTGGAGAAAAACTGTCAACCACTATCTAGAAAGAGGATGGCTGCTGCCAGGACAGAGGGACAGGCGCTCTATGGAAGGGGCATGCTGAAAGTACAGCTCACACTGCCTTGAGATTTGGAAAATGCCTGGGAGACACAGAGTAACTTGTCTGCTGTAGATGAAAGGAAAGGGCGTTTCAGGCAGAAGCACCGTGAGAACTATAATGGCAGGAGGGCATGAGACTCAAAGGGGTGCATCAGGGTCAAATTTGTTCTGGAGGCCCAGAGCTTTCAAACTCTTCTTTAGCCACAAAACCCTGGTTTCAAAGAAAACCAAGGCGGATAAAATGAGAACTGTTCCAGTGACTAAGGAAAAAGGGCGAGGAGGCAGCGGGTGGCGGGGGTGGGGGAAGGGTGGCCTAGGAAGCTTAGCTCCACCCTGACTGCCCTGGATTTCTGAGCCACCACTTACTGGCTGAGTGACCTTAAGCAAGCCATTTAAACTCTCTGAGTTCTGCCCTGAACAGTGTGGCTCAGCTGGTTAGGTGTCGTCCCGCAAACCAAGAGGGCGCCAGTTCAATTCCCAGTTGGGGCACATGCTTAGGTTCCAGGATCAGTCCCCTGTCTGGGCACATGCGAGAGGCAACTGATCAATGCTTCTCTCTTACATTGATGTTTTTCTCCCTCTCTTTCTCCTTCCCCTCCCCTCTCTCTAAAAGTAAATAAATAAAATCTTTCATTTTAAAAATTTAAAAATCTTTTTAAAAACTGAGTTTTGTTCATCTCATCTGGAAATCGAAAACAAAAAATAGCATCTACCTTTCAGTTATTGCGAGAATTAGATAAGATGATACATGGAAAGTACCTAGGACAAAGCTTGGTAGAGAACAAACAATCAGCGAGTTAGCTGCCTTTGATGCAATTGTTATTTACATTTTGGCAACGACTGAGCATCTTCAAATAGAGAAGAGTTTATTCATGAAAGTTTTTATCAACAGAGAAATGGTAGGGCAAACAATCTATGCTTCAGTAAGATGACTTTTTGAGATCTGACTAGTAATTTAACATCTCATGTACACTGTAAAGTACAAATGCTCCCAGCATATAGACCTGAAGTTTTCTTCCTTCAGTTTTCTTTTGTTCATTCAGTTTACAGTTTTATGCTACAGCCGTTTACTGGGCACCCATTATGTGCCAGCCACTGTGTCAGATACCAGGGATATAGCAGCAAACACACCTGGGTTTACAGCATGGCAAGGAAGG